CGGTTTTTTTACTGTGGTATCCCCGTTAAGGCCTAATCCACACGTACAAATAAAGCGTCAATTTTATCCACACTTTCACCACAAAGTAATTTACTGTTAATGATCAATGGTGGATACATTTTTGTTTTTAATGTATCTATATCAGAACTTTTTAATAGGAATGTGTTTTGACGAAGGACCGTCAAGGTTGGCAATGATTATTAAAATACTAATGTAATGTTTTTAAAATGTGCAAAAGTTATTACCAATAAGTATCATAGTACATTAAACACAATAGCCAATATGTATGTATTTATACTGATATCGAAGCGTATTACAATGAGGGCTATTATGGGCTATAACGCCAGCCGGTATTATAATAATTAATTTTTCAAATTTTTTTGGGGGATTTTGGGGCCTCCGAGTATAATATTGATGGAGGCCTACCACGAAAATCCCGATTCGTGAAAAGTTTTATCATTCAAAAATGTAATGAATGATTGTATGAATAAAATATAATTAGGTACTTCATTTCTAATAAAGATATAATATATGATTTTTATATTCCCCTCATTGGTTGGAAAATGATTTAACTTTGTTACCTATCTATTATTTTTATTTTTATTTTTTTATCCAATTTACATTAATAAATTTAATATTTGAACTTAATGGTAAACAAAAGATGTATTAAATATGTAAATATATTTCACGTGTATATCATAATAAAATAGGTAAGGGGTGATATTAGATTAGATTTCACTTTATGGGATAATAGTAAGTTGTTGTCTTAGCCCTATTAGGTTATGATGTAGTCAAAAACGTTGAGTACAATAACTTATGTCATTGTATGATTGCAGGAAACCTCTTAAATACAAAAACAAGGTCAATCATCCAAGTAGAATTGAATGCATTATTATACTGGAATACTAAGATATTTAGTGATTTTAATTTATATATTTCGCAATCGAACAAATTTTATATAGGAATTATAATGGGGAAAATGAAAATATTATTACTATAATATAATGAATTAATATATTTTATACATAGAATATTTATTAAATGGTAAATAAATTAAATGTCTTAAAAATCAATGAAATTCATTAAAAATATAAACGTCGTTCAAGTTCAAGTTCTATTTGCAAAAAACGAGTGACGTTCACGTATTGTTCACTATAATGTATGAACGTGAAACGCGTGAACGTGCGTTCATGAACGACGTTCTTTCCAAACACTGCTATATAGTCATAAGTCTAAGTTATAAACCATAGTTCATTTTAATTCAATTTTATTTTAAAACCAAACTCTTTTCAATAAAGGAAAACTCTTAAATACAAAAACTAGGTCAATCGTCCCCTTGGAATTGAATGCATTATTATATTGGAATACAAAGATTTTTAGTGATTTTTACAGGGAGATGAATAACACAGTCAATCCATCGATGTTTGAAACTATTTTTATGCAATGAAAGGCATAACAAGGTGGATGAAAGAAGGGAATATAGGGTGCCCTTTTTGTAGAACCCTCATCAGTCGTCTACAAAAGTATGCAATAGTTTTTATTAAACTGTTTATTTGTTATAATGTTGTTTTTTAATTAATTTGGGTTTTTTCAATAGTTAAACTCAAGAAAAATATTCAACGCAACTTTAATACATTTACTTATACACAGTCAACTGAACAAAATAACTCAACAGTACAATTAGCGATCTATTATTATTTTACCTTTCGTAGAATTATTGTTATATCATCCTTGAATTAATTTTTCAACAATTAATACTTGCCTTTTGTAGATTTATTCTTATTCTACCATTCATGTATACTAAAAAAAGTTTTTTTTTCATTGTTTTGGAATTAAAATGTTTAGTGGGTAAGTTAAGCCAATGATATACCTACGTTACACACGGTTTGGTTTATTTTTGTTTAATTTATATAACACATTATTTCTTGTGTATCTAGGGTCAATTTACAAATTCTCGACCAGTGGACACCCTGACTAAACGCAAGAAATCGCTATGGTGCATAATAGAAAGCTCACTAAAAATATTTTATTGATTTATTTATTTTTAACTTGTATAACAAATTATTTCCTCTTTATTTAGATTCCGTCGCCTTCGTGTGGACTTCCGCCTGAAGTAGTGGAGACAGGTTAGGTTCTGTAGTTAGGTTAGGTTATGATCAGAATCATCAACATTTTTGGGGACGAGTGACCATAAATCGTCATACATGAACAGGGTTTTTTAAAAGAAACCCGACCCGATTTTGTTTAAATGGGTTTAATGGGTTTTAATGGGTTTTAAAAATTTGAAAATAATATATTATTATATTCCCATTTTCATTCTAAGGTTGGTCACTCTGACTGTCAGAGTAAAATGTTATTTGTTTTTTCATTTATTGTTATGAGTTTATAACTAATATTATAATAAGGAAATTATAATATCTAATTTTTTTTCTCACATGTTTTTTTTTTATTGTACTAACTACTACTAAGAAGTAAAAAAAACAAATAATATGCAATTTAAAGTTTATTAATTTTTTTGTTTATTGGATTTTTTTTAATGGGTATTTTTACTGGGTTTTATAACTGGGCCCAAAACATTGAAACCCGACGGACATTAATGAGTTATGCCCAGTACATCGAACAATGTTCATGAAGGAAAATTCCACACAGTCAGGGCCTAATTTCGGCATTTTATTTAATGGCATTTATGTATTGAATTTACAATGATGTGGAATTTTAAAAATATTATCAAAAAAAACTTTTCATTTGGCGGAAAAGATTTCAAATTTAAAACAATAGGTTCCTCATAATAAGTATTGTTCATATATCAGTTCTTATCTACTTCTCGTCAAAGCCGGTTGTGCGTTATAGTGTGTTCGTCGTATATTCGTATTATTATGCCGTGCGCTAAATGTAATATTAACATATCTCCTAAGAAAACCGTAACTTGTAAAAGTTGTGATTTTGATTTTCATGTGAAATGTACAAATCTTGAATCACTCATTGAATATAATAAGATTAGTGCTAAATGGACTTGTGAATATTGTAATTATAATACTAAAAATATTACGCAAAGAAAAAAATTGAATAATATGGATAATTCAAGCCGGGATGATGAGGATGATTATGATTTTGGGTCAGTAAAAATTGATATGAAAAAAATGTTCAGAAAAATTGAAGTACTTACTACTAACGTCACATCAATGGAAAGTTCATTAAATTTCTATGGAGAATCATTTGATGAAATCAAGAAGAAAATGGACACTGTTGTAAACATCGTTAATGGTATGGAAAATAGGGTAATGGAAACAGAACTTAGATGCTCTAAACTCGAAAAAGAAATTGATTACCTCAAAATTATGTTAAATAACAAAGAACAAGCTTCTCTAAATCAATCCGTTGAAATTACTGGTATCCCGAAAACACCTAACGAAGATATACCTCATATAATTACATCAGTAGCTAATATATTAAACATTAGTATTAAAAACGAAGATATTGTAGATACTTACAGATTGAAACCGTACAAGAATACTGATGGTAAAATTATAGCTAAATTCAATTCCACGATTTTAAAAGACAGTATTATTAAATCGATAAAATTACGTTATAAGAATAAAAATCCGGTAACTGCAAATAATTTATGTACTAACTTTCCCGAAGTTAATGTATTTATCAACGATCAACTCACAAAGGAAAACAAAAGATTACTCTGGTTGTCAAAAGAATTCTCAAAAACATATGGTTATAGATTTGTCTGGTCAAATTCTGGTGGTGTATACTTAAAAAAACAAGAAGGGGAACAAGTTATCAAAATACCAACTACACAAATTCTTCAAAATCTTGATACAGACAAATAGTTAGTGCACTTTGGGAGTAGTGTAGTATAATATTTTTTGTTGTTTAAATTAAGTTACTAATTTATTAATTTATCTTTATTTTTGTTGTAATATTAAATTTTTTAGTTTAAGTTAATGATATATATGAATAATTATTATAAATCCCGTTAAAAACTTTGATTTTAATTTTCTATCTAATGAAATAAATACTGATTATCAAACGTTTGTTATTAACGACTGTAACAAATTTAGTGACCATAATAATGATCTTACTGTCTTTTCACTGAACATTAGAAGTATCAGAAAACATTTTAATGAATTATTAGTGGTTTTAAGTTCAGCTAATTTTAAATTTGATATTATTATGTTATCTGAGACATGGTTAGATAATAATATTGGTAACTTCGATATAAAAGGTTATAATTGTTATAATCACTATAGCTCATTAAATATATCTGATGGAATAAGTGTTTATATTAAAGACTCTATTATAGTAAATAATATTATAATTGGAAGTATTAACCACTGTAGCTCATTAGATTTCTCAATTTCCTATAATAATATATTAATTAAATTAACATGCATTTACAGATCACCCAGTTTGAATAAAATTGATTTTATTGATAATCTAGAAGACTTTTTAAACAATTACTCCAAATTCCAATCACATATTATTTGTGGAGACATAAATTTAAATATTAAGATCGAAGACATCATTTGTATTAAATACCTTAATGTACTTAGTAGCTATGGATTTAAATCATGTATTAATGGCACTACACGTAGCTTTGGCAATAGTAACACATGTATTGATCATATATTCATTAAAAACAAACAGGCATTTAATCATATTTGTGGATACATTTATCAAAGTGTTATTACGGATCATTACAGTACTATTGCTGTACTATCTACCCCACGAAACAATAATAATATAAATACAATTGATAACAATACCGATAATCATAATTACAATTTTACTAATATAGACAATTTAAATAATATATTAAAAAACATAAACTGGACAGAAGTTTTAAAATCAACTGATGTAAATGTAGCTATTGAGTTATTCACAACTATTATTGAAAATAGTATAAAAAATCACAAGAAACTAAAATAAAAAAGATACCAAAAAATAAAAAACGATTAAAAAACTGGATAACAATAGGAATTATTAATTCTATGAGACATCGGGATATATTATATGCGAAATTAAAAAATCAACCATTTAACATTAAATTGCAAGAGATTTATAAAAAGTACAGGAATCTACTAAATGTAACCATAAAAATAGCAAAAGACGTATATTTTTATAAACAAATTTCTAATGTTAAAGGTAATACTAAAAAAATATGGGAATTTATAAATGAAGCCTTAGATAATAAATCTAATAAAACTAACTTTATACCAACAATCCTAAATCGTCAAAATCAAATTGTAACAGATAATATTAGTATTGCAAATGAGTTCAATTCTTTTTTCGTGTCTATAGGTACAAATATTTCGAATAAATTGAAATCACATCTAAACATAAGAAAATTTACATTTTTAAATGATATTCCAGTAAATGATAAAAGTATATTCCTAAACCCTATTTCAACTGATAAAATTAAAAAATATATATTAAATATTAAACCAGCATGTTCATTCAATAGGTGGGAATTAACAAACACGATTTTAAAAGCTATTACTGTTAATATTCTTACACCATTACAATATATTTTTAATCTAGTTCTTACTACTGGTGTTTTTCCACATTCATTCAAAAATACGATCATTTTCCCGTTACACAAGAAGTTAAATAAAAGTGATTGTACAAACTATCGACCAATAGCACTTACAATTACACTATCCAAAGTCTTAGAAAAGTGCATCAAAGATAGGCTTTACAACTTCTTAGAAACATGTTCGATATTTTCCTGTAACCAATTTGGTTTCAGGAGAAACAAAGGTACCGATAAAGATTTAATGACTGTAATTAGTCACATTTATAACAAACTAGATATGAATAGAGCAGTAATAGGACTTTTTCTAGATGTTAAAAAAGCTTTAGATTCTGTTGACCATTCAATATTGCTAGCCAAATTAGAAAAATACGGTATCAGGGGCAATGCAAATAAACTTATATGTAATTTTCTAGAAAATCGTATTCAACAAGTAAGAGTAAATGACAGTTTAAGCGATTATCTGATATCAAATCATGGAATACCACAAGGTACTGTATTGGGTCCTCTTCTTTTTATTGTTTATATTAATGACTTATTGAATATTAAGTGTAACGGATCAATTTTCAGTTTTGCTGATGACACCTCAATTATTATAGATGACATAAATAAAAATCATATTCAGAGTAAATCGACGCATGTATTAAGTATCGTCAAAACATGGTTTGATAATAACCTCCTAGAACTAAATTTAACAAAAACTTGCTTTATGAACTTTAGTATAAATAAATTGGTATCCACTGGAAAAAATTATCTTAAGGCGCACCTCATAAATTGTAACGAATTTAATATAAATACAATGTCTGCTATTAGTAATGACAGTAAGTGTAATTGCACTTATATTTCTTCAGTACAACAAGTAAAATATCTAGGTATTACTATAGATGCTAACCTTAAATGGCAAAACCATATAATTAATACAAATAGAAAGCTCAGACTGTTGTTCTATAAATTTAAAACTATCAGCAACATACTATCACCAATCACAATGAGAATGGTATTCGTATTGGGAGTTGGGGTGGTGCATACGATATATATCTAAATTCACTTGAAACCACTATAAATTCTCTTATTAAAATATCTTTTAAAAAAACCTATAGGATGAGCACTGTATTGTTATATAAAGAATGTAATCTTTTAAATTTGAATCAATTATATATACGACATATATTATTGAATATGTTTTTCCTTGATGTTCAAAAATTTAAATTTAAACATAACCACTGTACAAGAGCTAAGCAAACCAATATGTATTTAATTCCTAAGTGTAGAACGGAATTTGGAAAAAGAAACCCCTTGAATGCTGGAATTAAGATGGCTATGGAATTAAATATTGACGTTGGTTTGTTTAGAATCTTTAGATTTTATAAGAAAATGGTAAATGAAAAAATCAAATTGCTAACATAGATAATTTTTCTGTATTCATGTCAAATTGTTATATTTATTGTGTATTTCTAAAATATTTAAAAATTTATATTCATGATGCTTATTTTCACATAATCAACTATGATCGACTTATAATGTGTTAATTTAATTATTTAGTAAATGTACGAGATATTTTTAAGAACCTTGTCTCCACAACAAGCCTAGCTTACGGAGACAATCATTTATATATAATGCCAAATTATAATATGTATAAATATTTGTAATTTTACATGTATGTATACATTTCTGTTTTAAATGAAAACAAATAAATAATAATAATAATAATATAGTTATCAATAAAAAAAATAACAAAGATACATAGGTAAGCACGGTTATTTTTTTTACTAGCATTTGAAGTTTAAATGTTGATAAAATTTGTCAAAATCACGAAAATTTGCAAATCATTTTGTACTTACCTATATTGTTATTTATTTTATGTAATGTTCAATTTTTATAGCAAAGACTTGACAACTTATTAATATAAGTCACGCGTATGCATAGTTTTTATAATGAAACTTAAAAATCTAAAAAATATGTAACCACAGTTTTTTTCATAGACATTTGAATTTCAATTTTGGACAAAATTATATTTTTAAACAAAAAATATTATTATTAGTGGACCTTCAAACTATTAAAACGTAAAATGTACCATGTACGTATATTATTATATTTTATATAGGTACACCTACATTTTAAAATGCAATTATGTTTTTGGCAAAAATTAGTTTAACCTCTATCATAATTACTATAAAATGAATATAAATTATTTTTATTAAAACAATATACCTACGTTTTTGGTCTGTAATAATTGCTTTTAAAAGAAGGTTATAATAATAATTAAGAAAAATGATATTAATACATTTATATATTTTTATACATTTAAATATTTAATACACATTAATTATATGTCAATATAAATTTACAACAACCTAAATGCACTAAAAACTTGTCACCCAGGTCAACAAGGTACTCTTGAGTAGACTTGACCTATTCCCTTTTCTCTATAAACGTACCTGCCAGTTTTTATTATAATATAATGTTTGTGATTGTTACTGGAGATTGAACTCCTAATAAAAACTAGCTAGGTATTGAATCATAAAAGCAAAAAGAGGTTTGGTTGATCATACTATAATATAGGTACCTACGTATTTTTAAACCATGAATACGATGGTCATTATTTTTTTTATACTCAAAAACATTATTTGTGGGGATCCAACCTAACGCAATTCAAAGAATTTTAGTAGAGGTATGCAATGAAATTTTCAAAATAAGTAGAATAATTTTTAGATATTACCTATTTATACCTTGAACCTATCCATGCAGTTTTACGGTAAGGTGGTATCGACTCAAAAGTTAATAACAAAAATATAATATGGTATATATCATAATACATATTATCATAATAATTAAACATTATCAATACTTATGAATGCAATGTTTTAGGAAAAAATGAATTCAACCTACCTTAATACAAATACAAACAATGAAATAAAATATCTACTTAAATAGCAATATAAAAAATAGTGGTCGGTAACCAATTGACGCCTATTGTACAGCAAGCGATTACCTACTTCTTGTTACCTAAAATCGATAATTGTTTGCTTTTTTACAATTTTCTTGCAATCATGTAACCACTGTAAGCCACTTGTAACCAACTGTACAGCAGAGCACCTTTTTTTATAATGTTTTTAGTATAATATTTATAAAATTTTAATTATATTAGCGCACCTTACCTAGAGAAACCAGGAATTTTTATGGGTTCTTCACATAGTTTGTTTTAAGAAGTTTACCTGTCTACATTTCTTGATCTCACCCCCCCCCCCCCCCGTCAACATCGTATAACGCCGGCCCTGATTAAAATACCCTGAGATTTGGAAGTGAGTCCAGTGGAAGCTTTCGCAACGTTTCCGCGACACACTCTCCGAACTTGTAGTGCGTTATTTTCACTGTTGTTACGCATTGTTCAACTGTGAACTTCTCCATGACGACGAATACCAAAAATCACTTTACGATGACAAATAGGAGGATGTTATAAGATAATAAAAACATTGGAACAGTGCTGTCAACCCAGAAACAAAAAAAAATCCCGGCGTTCTTAAAGTGTGGGCTTGTGCTGGGACACCCTATATTATGTATAATAAATTATACGAGAGACATTTATATTTCCCTTCTATTTTTTTGTGTTTTGAAACAAGTATTGAATAAAACCCGTAGAAGGTATATATCATAGAATATAATATATGTATGATCTTTTCAAATAATTTTTCTATTTTTATTTTAGACGCGCTTTCAATAAGTATAAATGAATTATAGAATTATAAATTTATACATAAATATAAATAAAATGTCTTATTTTTAAGTATTGTTGTTTGTCATTCTCTATCGAGATTTTAATGCAAGTGTGACTACACTTAGTCTTGTGTCTTAAGTTATTATTAACACTTTAACATTATATTATAATATTATAATTGTTATTATATAGGTAACATTTATTTAAATTACCGTCTTCGATTATGGAACATGACGGATACAGATACGACAATAATGGGAAAAAGAAATGGAGTAAGTATTTAAAAATTATATTATTATATTAATTATTACTAACAATTTATAAGTTATCAATGTTATGTCTATATTTACCACAATTTTATTTAGTGAATAATTATTTTAACAATATGTAATTACAATCTATTTATCAGATATTTATGTTATTTTAGATATTTATTAGATAGGTACATAGGTATTAAAAAGGAAAATTTATGAATTGAATAAACATTGAAACATTGAATTCCTATATTAATCCCAGTAAGTAATTATTAATGACCGGATTTATGTACATTTTAAAATGTAAAATATGCTTGCAAACATGCACTAAAAAAGTCTAAATATGCAAGAAAAAATTATAAAATATGCATAGTAAAATTTCAATTTTTATTCAGTTTTATACATTATTTTAATTTTACAGTGTTAATTAACTATTTATTAATTATATTACAATTTTTATAAACAAAAAAATAGCACAGATATGTAGAACAGAAATACAATTTGTTAAATTGTAATTTAATTCTTAATCATTCATATCAAGTAAATAGGTAACATTCTAGTAACCGTCTACGATAAATTTAATAGGAACAGCATTTTTTCCTACAGGAACTTAAGTTTTATAGTATACAGTATAAAATATATTATATTTATTACAGTTTTAATTTAACCGTATAATGTAGTTAATAATTTTACATAGATAGTCATAGAGAAATAATTTTATTTCGTTTTTGTTTGATGAAAATTGCGATTACATATTAGTATTTTCCTCCGTTCCAACAGAATAAATTAACGTTGTGTTGACTTAAATTGCTATTGCTTACGTTAATTTAATTTTAAAAATAATAATTTTCTTGACTCACCCAATACTTTTGAAAATTGTCTACAGTTCTGTTAAAATATATTGTGTGATACCAATACAATATAATTGAGTTATACAAACATTTAATAGTGCTATTGAAATATTTTAACACAAATTAATTTTGTATGCACTTTAAGTAACTATTTAATTTTAATTTTATAATATAATATCATATTATCATCATTATCATCTACTATTTTAATTTTTTTTTACCTAAGTACAAATTGTACAGTACCTGCCTATTTTATACACATTGTATTAAATATTATACATATATATATATATATATATATTATAACGAAATCATTCAAAATTGTCCACTTTACTGCATATAATATAGGTAGCTACTACTTGTATGTACACAAATATTGTTTGTAACGGTTGCAATACTTGGACGATGATTTTTTTATGAATTATGTTCATAATTATTATTCATCACACAAGATGGAACTTACATGCCATAACAGCTGTTCCACTTACACGCACATTTGAAAACACTCAGAACTTATAGAACGTTATGTCTAGCAGGTGGTTCTTATAAGTTCTTATAGTGTACAGACTTGTCAATTTTGAACTCTAAGATCAAAAACATACCACCAAATTGTAAATCATTAAACCAAAGATACATTACATTGGTTATGCGTGAGTGTAGTACCGACATAACAGCGGTTCCACTTCACGCACATTTGAAAACACTCAGAACTCACAGAACGTTATGTCTAGCAGGTGGTTCTCGTAAGTTCTTATAGTGTACAGACTTGTCAATTTTGAACTCTAAGATCAAAAACATACCACCAAATTGTAAATCATTAAACCAACGATACATTACATTGGTTGTGCTTGAATGTTTGTAGTACCCAGACAACAGCGGTTTCACTTACACGCACATTTGAAAACACTCAGAACTTATAGAACGCAATTCCTAGCAGGTGGTTCTTTTATTAAGTTCTTATAGTGTACAGACTTGTCAATTTTGAACTCTAAGATCAAAAACATGCCATCAAATTGTAAATCATTAAACCAACGATTAATTACATTGGTTATGCGTGAATGCAGTACCTACAATGTAGGTCCTACATACACCCAAATGAGATCTGTCAATTGTTCAATTGTAAATTAACTGTTGTATCTCCAAGTACTATTGTCCAAGTAAATATTTGCATAGTTTTCATTGGCAACTCTTATATTTGAATACAATAGTAGCCAGTAGGTAC